TTTTTGTTCAGTATTTTGCAATAAACATTCAAGTAACGAAATCCGCAAAAAAATTTGACTGATCGCGATTAGATTAAGCAAAAAAATTTTTTTTATGACGGGCGGTCAGCGCTGCCGGTATTGCGCGCTGCCGCGTGTCATTGACTTACCTTTAGATTTACTCTGTAATTATAAATAAGGAATAATACTTAATGTTTTAATTAAAAATATCATTATTTTATGATTAATTTTATTTAAACAAATGACAGAGATAATAAATTATATATTTTTTTATAAATAAAAAACAAAGAAGTTAAATAATTTTTAAATTAATTCTTATAACTCATACTTATTGCTTTATTTCTTTTTTTTTAAAACGTTATTGGTAACGATTTTAAGGGCTTTGGAGAAAACTTTGCACTCGAGTGATGTATTATTAACAGCTCCGTAATGATGATATTGGCGTGTATTTTTTATGGTTACACATTGGTCATAACGTAATTTAAACTTCTTCTCATGGGAGTCGTGATCTTCTTGGGAGCAAAAACCAAAGTTAATTTTTTTAAATGCATTCTTACCCCATTCAAATAATGAAGTTGGATTGGTTATATGCTTATAAGCGATAACGATATATCGTTTTCCCGTTGAAGACTTGCACGAAAAGCTTGCCTTTTAAAACTTCCTCCCAAACCATCACACGCCCCTTTCCCGTGAGAAGTAGCAAAAAAATTCCATTCCGCGTCCACGTTAAAATCCTTTTTATGATTTATTAAATTCACAAAATTATACTTATTTTTGTACTGAGAAGCAGCTTCGTCCGAAAAATATGAAATTTTTTTTATCTTATCTTCTCCAAACTTATTTTTTTAAAATTCAATTAGTTTAAAATTAAAAAGGTGAACAGAGCTCGCGTCGTGACTAACTTTTTCCGAAATGACAACGTAGTTTATATGTTTCATTTCTTGATTTTCTCTATAATACACAACGTAAGGGTGAATTGTAGCCTGACTGTTATTCCAATGATGAGATTGGATGGCATTTTGAACAGAAAAACTATATAGTTTTCAGAAAAATCAAGGCAAACGATAATTTCTCCATCCTCAACAGATTCCTTCTTGTCAGTAAAATATGACGCTTGAGATCGTGCAAGAAAATCATGTCTCAATAATTCAGGCCATTTTTGTCTTAAATCATTAAAAAAATCTTCTTTCGTTTTCGTTTCTTCAATGATTTCAGTTCTAAAAAATTCAAAATAAATTAACTGAATTGAGTAATAATAAAAAAAGGATAATCAAAAAAATTAACAATTTAAACATACAAAATCTAATAATTTGATTATTAATTAAAAAGAATATTAATTAATAAAAAAAATATTAATTACTCAGTCAAGTAAATATAAAATTATTTGATAAGAATAATTAGAAAAATTAAAAAAAAAGAACATTTGACTGAAAATTTCTTTACCTATCAGTACTTTTCCATTGGCTGTATGTAATTTCATTTATTTCATGGTTGTTGAAAAATAGTTCCAATTTATTTATAATATTATCAGTTCCTGGACACTTAGTACACTCAGAAAAGTAACACAATGATGCAGACTCTTGGCAAACAGAGCTTTTAATTAAGTCATTTGAGCTTTCTGAAAAAATTATTCTCTTTTTTTTTAATTCATTTTTAAATCCAGTTAATTGCAATTTAAAATTTTGATGTATTTTACACACACACACATTATGAGTCCCACTTTTGCCGGCAGATATACATTCCCGAGGTCAAAGTTTTTGAAATTTTGATAGTCCAATGTTTTCGTCAGGATAAGCGTCAGTAAATTTTTTGTGTATTTTGTGAACATTATATAATAATAATCGTTTTTGTTTCTGGATTTTTTTCCCATTCTCAATTACCGAAACATAATCTTTCATACCAGGCATTATGCGGCTGACATCATCGGATAAATAGAAAGCTTCAATACGATCGAGGGTTTCATTGTTTAAAGATTTTCCTTTCTTCATTTTAGGCTGCGATGCAAATCCTCGTTCTTGTCTCATTTTTTTTGCAGTTATCACCATACGTTTGGAAACTTTAAACTCTCTCCTTATCATTTTTATCGACCAATCTGTAGGAAGCGTAGTCAAAACCTGAATTTTATCAGCTCTACTAGTTTTATTATTAAAAGCAGATTTAAAGTTATTAAGTAAAAGCTCTTTTGGATCAATTTCATTATTTATATTGTTAATATTATCTGTAAATTTCCTCACAACATTTGTTAAAACTTTTTGACATTCTATATCACTTGAGACTCTCTTGATTTTGATTGGAGGTTCACCAATTTCCGTTAATAATTTATTAACCTTATCAATTTTTAATTTGTTATCTACCGGTTTGCATTGAAAAGTAGGATCTTTTTCTTCGTCATCTTCGATCACATCATTTGACTTTTCAGGCTTGTTGACTTCAGGACATTTATTCACCGATAATTCACCAAGAATTTCAGGTTTTCGACCTGAATAAATAGTCCGTTCACATGAATTGCACATATAATCGCCAATAAAATCTTTAAAATTATGAGCGCGGTTTTTTGTTATTAAAACTAAGTTTATAATGACTTTTTTATGATTTTTTTTGTTAAATGGATTGCAGCATTTATTTACGCGGCTCATGACTAATTAAATATTAAGTATTAACGAAATTACGAACACCAATAAACTTCAATACAGTAATAAAATTTTAAACAAATTCGGAAGAAACTAATTAAATTTAGAACAATAAAAACGATTTAACACAAAGTTCTGTTCTGTTCTGTTCCTTGTTACCATGGACTCGCGTCGTGACTCTCGTCGTGTGACGGCCGCCCAAAAAAAGTGCTCAATAAAAGGTGTGCCTTTTGACACGTCTGGATTATTCCATGCCTTTTATAGTGATGCTCATATTAACGTCCATGTTTCACACTTTTTCATGGAGCTAAGAACGAGCGATGCGCTTCTCACCGAGGATAAAATCGAACAAAGTTATTAAATAAAACGTCAAGACGTTTGACGTTTGACAAGATTGTCACAAATATTTACTTACTGATATTGGTTATAACCAGTTTAACCAACGTTGGGTAACTGATAAAAAAATTTTCTTTTTTATTAAATTAACAATATATTTAAAATATACTACAATAATTATGATTCGTTAAGTTTTTTAAAAACAATAAATGAAAATAAATAGCAGAATACTGCTAGAATTTATTATCTCTATTTTTTATTTATAAAAAAATATATAATTTATTATCTCTGCCATTTGTTTAAATAAAATTAATCATAAAATAACGATATTTTTAATTAAAACATTAAGTATTATTTCTTATTTATAAATACAGAGTAAATCTAAAGGTAAGTCAATGACGCGCGGCAGCTCGCTATACCGGCAGCGCTGACCGCCCGTCATAAAAAAATTTTTGTTGCTTAATCTAATCGCGATCAGTCAAATTTTTTTGCGGATTTCGTTACTTGAATGTTTATTGCAAAATACGAAACAAAACATTTTTCATTTTTTAAGGGAGAAGTCATTAAAATTTTCATTTGTTAACTAAAAAGTGATTTAACAATATGCAAAAAAAAAAATAATTCAAATTCATACATATTTTCTTAAAGTACAAGTATTGAACTATAACTCCTGAAAATTTCATTAAAAAATCACCAATAGTTTTTTCATTATTAATTTTTTAACTAAAAGTAGTAAAAATTTTCAATTAAAAAAAAATTGTTGTTAAAATTAAAATTAAAAAAACTGAGCGGGGGATTATTTGTTCATGGTGACTACTTTATGAAAAAATACTCACATTCAAATTCGATGATCAAGTGGAAAATGGGGGGTCCACTTGACGTGTTTTTACTCAATAATAAAGCAAACACAATTGTGATTTTAAATTTAAATCATAAGAGAAAATGCGCAGAATCTGCCAAAACGTTGACAGTTGAACTACAAATAGATCAAATCACTTTAAACGCTGTGCTGCCAAATGTCTGGCTTTAAGTTTTAAAGGATTCCTTTCAAATTTAATATTTTAAAGGACCTCTAAAATAAGTGCTTACAGAATAGCAGTTTCCTTTATTTATTTTAGCCGGCCTTTAAAATTAAAAGATTAAAAGGGCTTTAAAATTTAAAGGAAAAGTTACAGAATAGACATCTAATTGACGGAACTAAAATGTAAAAGAAATCTGCTTAAAAACCCTTTATCGTTCGAATTTATCTCAACAGATGTCACTATTTTAAATTAATTATTTATTATATTAATATATTCTTGCAAATAATGTTATTTACAGGACTTTTAATATTAAATTCATATTATATTCTGAACCTCTTGCATTGGGATCGATCATTTTATCGATTACCGGCTTAAAAAAATAACTTACAAGTCGGAAGCCGAATAGGCTTTCGGATTAGCCGAAGGCGAACAATCGTGTCGCCTACACATCGCAATTTTACCATACGTCAACGGCGTTTCTATTGGTCAGCGGTATAGCGTTCTTCACTTGGTTGACGTGCAAGAATCAAATAAATAGGCGCTTGGGATAGTCGCCTTTGCTTGCTTTAGATGCTGATTTAGAGCATAGAAAAAGGTGTGAACTAGCTACTTTCGTCATGACGCATCACGTAACAATTCAATAAAAGGTTTTATTTGCGATAAATAAGATTTATGAATGCAATAAAAATAATTTAATTAAATTTAGTAATTTTATTAATGTTAAATTACTTATATTTATTATTTTACATCCACATTTCCAGGGTAGGCGGCGCCTACCTTGCCTACCCCGACGAGCCGCTAGGGCCTAAATATAACTAAATTTAATAGTACCGAGCTTGAAAATCGGATTTAAATTACACTCCGACGTAAATGTAAGTCAAAAAGGTTAGTTTAATAAATTTCTGTTAAAGGAGATTTTAAATGTGTTAAGTAGACTTTGTGTTTTTATAAGTTTAAAATTGGAACAAGAGCGAAAAATAAAAAATACTTTATTTTAATTTGTTATATTAATTAAAAATCCTACAAATTCAAAATATTTATAAATAAAACAAAATAAATTAATTAATATCAAGACATTACATTCGAAAAATTCCAAAATGAGATTTGGTTATTGGTTTAGTTAACGTAGCTGCCAAACATAAACCCAATACTTTTCTTGTATCCTTTGGGTCAATAATACCATCATCCCAAATCCTAAAAGTTTATCGGAATTATGTTAAAAAATATAGATACATTAAAATATTTACCTTGCAGTGCTATAATATGCGGATGCTTCCCTATCAAATTGTTCAATAATAGGTTTCTCAAATTTCTCTATTTTCCCTTCCGACCATTTTCCTTTACTTGCTACTTGAGATAAAACACCTGCCGCTTGTTTTCCACCCATAACCGAAATTTTTGCATTTGGCCACATAAATAAAAATCTAGGAGAATAGGCTCGACCACACATGCCTAAAAACAATGACAATATGTATAATAATAAAATAAAAAGTTAATATTTTATCAGAATCAGAAACATACACATGTAATTTTTTGTCAAAACCACTGGGGATACTTTTAAGATCACGTGTTTGCTTTAATATGTAAACAAACAGCAAAAACTCTTGGAGTGCGTTCGAAATGAGAGTGTACTTTGGATATGGTATAAGGATAGGTATATAATCACGTGACTTTACATTATACCTGTTCTCCTTGTTATTTTCGAACGCCGCGGAGCATATACCTATAAACTTTATGTTGTAGTGTTCTAAAATCAATTGGTTTTGCTTGTTATTTGACTGAATACCTATAAATATTAAATTATTGAATTTCAACCCTTTAGTTGTATGGATTATTCAAGTTTTTGTGATGGATTTTGTTTTGTTTTTTAGAATTGATATTATTTAAATAATTTATTATAATAAATTCTTTTATTTTAATGTTTTTCATTTTTGTTTTATTAAATTTTAAACAGTTATAAATAAATTATATGAAGGTAAATACAAATTATTGTTTGATGTACCCTATGCGCATGACGGGTAAAACTTAACCAAGTCTAAAGCTTGGACAACCGAGAGTGCACTCTGGGCATATACTTGCTGTTTTCGAACAGCTGACAGTTGCATATATCTAGTTATATACCAGAGAATTCGAACGCGCAAGGTAAACTTGGAGTGTATCCAGAGTGCACTCTTGCGAGTTTTCGAACGCGCTCTTGGCATATATTTAAGGAGCAAAAAACATTTTTTAAAATAATGCTACTATTCTTACCATAATTTCCCGCTCCATAAGATCCGCCTATAATTACAGTAAGTTTTGGAACTTTTGCACATGCTACTGCTGTTACTAATTTCGCACCATTTTTTGCTATGCCACCGGTTTCGGCTTGTCTACCCACCATAAAACCTAAAATAACAAAAATTATTATTAATTATTTATAGTAGGTATACCTACAATGTAGGTCCTACATATAGCATTTACACCTTCAGGGCTATATAAACAAACAAAATTGTCATCTAACAAAAACCCACAAGAGAAGAAAAAAGACTCTAAGATCAGAACGCTGCCTGCAAATGGGAAAAAGCTTTCTGGTTCGTCGCCGGATGTGGTTTAATAGAGACCAGGCTTGGTTCATGCAGAAAGGGGCCACTACCCACACAGCAAATGGAGCGACTTCATCAACTTTTTTCAGAGTTGAATTATTTTAAAATAACACCCTTCCTACCCGGAGTCCCCAAATTCCCATTGACTTTTTGTATACAAGTACCTACATTCAAACTAAAGTGTACGAGAATGCGCCACACAATTAAAATTAATTGAACGTAAAAATCACTCGCGTGAACTTGGTTTAATAATACCATAGATTCTCGGACGCGTGATAATGAATTTCATACTTTGCTTGCAGGAGGTCGTACGTTTTGAGGAAGAGCATTTAGCCGACGCGTATTTAGAAAATTTATTTCTGAAAGACAACGTCGCGACGTTGTCTTTCAGAAATAAATTTTCTAAATACTTTATTTTAAATTTACTACCCGATTTAAAGGGTACCACAACAAGAGCGCAGGGTTTAATATATTGATAACATGCAGGAAATCATTGTTATGTTCATCAATTTAACAATGCTTCAAGACCATAAAGACAAATTTTGGTATTGGAAAACATAAGCAGTAGGTATTGGAAAATGTGATCGAAAATGTCATCAAAAGAGTCAGAGTATATCAGAGTTATGGGGACTTTGTCCGATATTTTGTTTCATAATTAAACGCAAGGTTGTAGCGTTCTGTCCGCCACAGGTTTATTTGTGTTTTGGCAACAAATTATCATATTAAAGGAGTGTAAGTAGCGCCATCTAGGAGAGATTGTCGTAAGATGTAGTAAGATTATCGAAAGATAAGTGTAAAGCTTGATTTATAGTTTTAAAGGTAACGGTAGAGGCAGCGGTAAAGGTAGCGGTAGCCCAGTTCGCTATCAAATTTAAAGCTGGATTTATAGTTTTAAAGGTAACGGTAAAGGCAGCGGAAAAGGTAGCGGTAGCGGTATTACTTTCTGCAATTTATAGTTCAGAAAGTAGCGGTAGCGGTACTGGTGGCGCATGCGTACTTTAATGCAGATTGTAATTTTGTTTGTAAAATTTGACAGCAAAAGGTAAAGTTTTCTACGAAAACATGGATTGCGAGGACAATGTTAGCACAGCTGTGATTCTGGGCCATATGGCGTTGTGCGAAATATTATATAATAAACCCTGCAAAACAATATATTATGTTGTATTGCAGGGTTTAAAGTGCGTTATGGGGGTCGTCAAGTACGTCGCTATAAAACGAGGGAATTAAATCGGAAACGCCATTTCCAGTATTAATAAAAATAAAACTGACCGATAAAGAGTAGTTCTTTAATTACACAAATGACGGTGCCCATTTTTGACAAATTATCAAGTCTGGTTGCCCCTCGCATAAAAACTAAACTTACAAGGCGAAACTGCTAACTAAAAACTGCCGTGTGATTGGCTGGAGTAGCGGTTGAGGTAAGAAAAGATGAAAGATGGTCATCTCTTGCCGCTACCTTCTTGCCTCTACCTCTCTTACCGCTACCTCTGACAACTATAAAGTGTTTCGTACAATATTCAATGCCGAACTCGGCTACCGCTACCTTTACCTCTACCTTTACCGCTGCCTCTACCGTTACCTTTAAAACTATAAATCCAGCTTTAGCTGTCAAATTTTACAAAAAAATACAATCTGCATTAAAGTACGCATGCGCCGCCAATACCGCTACCGCTACTTTCTGAACTATAAATTGCAGAAAGTGATACCGCTACCGCTACCTCTACCGCTGCCTCCACCGCTACCTTTAAAACTATAAATCCAGCTTTACAAACAAAATTACAATCTGCATTAAAGTACGCATGCGCCGCCAGTACCGCTACCGCTACTTTCTGAACTATAAATTGCAGAAAGTGATACCGCTACCTCTACCGTTACCTTTAAAACTATAAATCCAGCTTAAAGCTGGATTTATAGTTTTAAAGGTAACGGTAGAGGCAGCGGTAAAGGTAACGGTAGCCGAGTTCGGCATTAATTATTATATGAAAGAATTTATAGATGTCAGAGGTAACGGTAAGGGAGGTAAAGGCAAGAACGTAGCGGCAAGAGATGACCATCGGCATTAATTATTATATGAAAAAATTTATAGTTGTCAGAGGTAACGGTAAGGGAGGTAAAGGCAAGAACGTAGCGGCAAGAGATGACCATCTCTCATCTTTTCTTACCTCAACCGCTACTCCAGCCAATCACACGGCAGTTTTCAGTTGGCAGTCTCGCCTTGTAAGTTTAGTTTTTATGCGAGGGGAAACCAGACTTGATAAATTGTCAAAAATGGGCACCGTCATTTGTGTATTAAAAGAACTGCTCTTTATCAGTCAGTTTTTTTTAAATACTGGAAATGGCTTTTCTTAGCTCGTTCCGTTTTAATTCCCTCGTTTTATAGCGACATACTTGACGACCCCCATAACGTACTTGAAACCCTGCAATACAATATAATATATTGTATTGCAGGATTTATTATATAATATTTTGCACATCGCCATATGGCCCAGAAACACAGCATTGTCCTCGCAATCCATGTTTTCGTAGAAAACTTAACCTTTTGCTGTCAAATTTTACAAACAAAATTAAATTCTGCATTAAAGTACGCATGCGCCACCAGTACCGCTATCGCTACTTTCTGAACTATAAACTGCAGAAAGTGACCGCTACCTTTAGCGCTGCCTCTACCGTTACCTTTAAAACTATAAATCCAGCTTAAGTGTAATGAAAACTGGCTGCAGCAGGTGTAGTGACCTTCACGAAATAAATAAATTCGAATCAAAACGTCCGAAGCTGCTAAAACTGGTTTTCTTAAGACAAATTAAAGGCAGGGCGAGTTCAGCTTGGCGTCAGGCAGTTGGAATCATAGTGTTAAGAATCCTTTTGTCGCCATTTTAACAATAAAGATCCAGATCTAAGTTTTTTTACCCAACTCGTTCCAATAGTTGTGTTGTTTTGGAATTTGTGTTTGAGGTCAACGAATCTTGTTAAAGTTTATCAGCTTGAGACAGTGGCGTAGCTAGGTTGAGTGGCGCCCGGGAAAGGGGGGGGCTTACAATCAAACCCAAAAATGTCATCATATTAAAAATCTTTTGCTTTCTGCGAAGATATCGATCAGATAATCAAGACTTAAAGCTTGAGCTCTTTCGTTTTAATGCTTAAATTTATAAAAGAGCCAGGAGTCCTAATTGCGACATAGTACTCCCCAAATAATTTTTAATAATAGTCTACTGCTCAGTCCGTCTTTTAACGTCTTTGGCCCGCAACGTTAATCGTTAATCATTTCGGCAGGCGGCATAGAATTTCCGACGTATAGAGCCGGCTTGGTGTTCCGAGTTTTAGTTGCGCGCATAGACAATAAATATAAGTCATAAAAAGATGTAATTAATTTATGTTGGTATTTTGTATTTTAGAACATAAAGGATTTGTAGGAAATAAAGGTGCTATAATGTATAATTCTAAAGGAGTGAAGGCGCCTAAACCTTGCTAGCACCGGACAGCAGTTGCTGCCCCGGTAGCTTCGCCACTGCCTTGAGACCACAAAAACTTCTACGAAATCTTAATTATTCATCTTTAGTCCCTTAAGTAAAATCATTAATAACATCCCTTTGATTTCATAATGAATTCATCGTGTGACTCATTAAGGATCTCACGTTGCTCATCAAAAGTGCAACACTTATGCGTGCCACAGTAACATCACTGAATGAATCAGCAATGATTTCACGTTGATGTCACAACGAATTCATCGTGTGACTCATTAAGGATATCATGTTGCTCATCAAAAGGGGAACACATATGCGTACCTCAGTGACATCACTGAATGAATCAGCAATGATTTCACGTTGATGTCTTAAATGATTTCATAATTGTTATCTGGGCAGTTACTAGTAGCAAACATTAAAAAACATGTTCTTCCAGTTTAGTCAGCGGGTGTGTTGTCTGCTAAATTAAATACGGATCAACAAGTCAATAGATCTATAGAAGAATTTGGAAAATCCGCGGATTAAAGGAAATGGCGAGTAGTTATAGATTATAGACAACTTAATAAACGGATTGAGGATAATAAGTTTCCACTTCCTTCCATTTACGAAATATTAGATTCTTTATCTGGATGAATGTACTTTTCACACTTGGATTTATCCCAAGGGTACTTTCAAATTAAAATAGATTCAAAAAGTAGACCCTATACCGCATTTTCAACTGACCGCAGACAATACCAAATTACACGAGTACCTAATAGGTACTATACCTATGGGGTTGAAAACAACTCCAAGCGATTTTTCGAGAGCAGGTCTTTGTCACGAAATAGGTTTTGTTTATCTAAATGATTTAATTGTTTTTGGAAACAACTTGATTAAACATAATAAAAATCTTTTAAAGGTATTGCGTCAAATCATCACAAGGAGATCTAAAAGTGCAGTCATTAAAAACTACCCAGAATTAAAAAATGCAGATCAAACGAAGCTTTTGCAAATTATTACAGAAGATTCATTAAAAATTTTGCACACATAGCTGCACCGCTTAATTATTTAACTGCAGACAATAATTCTGGGTATTTTTTAATGACTGAAATTTTAGATGGATCGGATAAATCTCGTTGTGATGATTTGACGTATCCCAAATATAAGATTTCATTCCGCAAAAACTCACATTTATTAGGGTTTAATTTTAACTTGACGAAGTCTCTGAAATACTTTTAAGAAATTTTTATTATGTTCAATCAAGTTGTCAAAAATCATTTATATAATTAAAAAACAGTTTAGCAAATCCCCCAGTATTACATTATCCAACTTTTTCTTTAGAAAATCACTTTACCTTAAGGAC